CCAGGTAGTGTCAGGCACCCTGTGGTTCTCCATGGCTCATTGCGATGATCATCATAGCATTGAGTTGCACTCATTCGACATTAAACTGAAATTCACAGGAGCTGTTTTTAACTCTGAAATGTTACAAAGTAATATTGCTGCTGTTCATAATCTACCTTCTTAATGATGTCAGGTCCCGTGGAGCCAGTTGACTCTGCTTACCAACCAGAACTGTCATTTTCACTCACTCTGTAACACTCCGAAAGGTGGCGCCCTTCTCTACACAACCCAAATCTGAAGCATGCCTTCGACCAAACAGGAGTCTGGAAAAAAATCCAGAAAGGGACACAGCTTAACGCTTCAGTTTTTACCTTGAAGCGTGCAACTAGCACTTTGTGATACCTCAAGTCAACTGCATAAAGACCCGTAATGCTGAAGTCGTGAAGCTTACAAGCCGCCTACAAATTTTCACACATTTGTGTGCAATTTTCATTATTTCTGGGTTTCTGAACGGCAGGTGCTTTTCTGGACCTTCACACGCATGAGAACCAGGGTGGGATGAGAGCAGGGGCTGATCTTTTAACTGTGAAAATTATTATTTTTTCTATGGACATTGGTTGGAAAGAAATAACCAAAAGCAGATGCCGGCGCCTCAATTTGCGAAGACTTGTATTACACCCGCCCACTTATTTGAGTCCATGGGACACCCATTTCCTGCTAGCACGGCTCGCAAAAGCCCGACTGCCGCCTTTGACATGCATTTGAGGGTGTACACGGACATAGCCTTAGTGCTGGTAATTTGATGGCGTAGCTGCATCGGCCCAAAATTGCAAATAAATGAATGTTAGGTATGTCTATAACGTTACGCAGATGGAGTGGTCCATCAGTGGCATTTGGACCCTAACAAATGTTGGAAAGTTTCAGTTCTGAGCGCATACATACGTTCAAAAATTATCCAGACGTTGCTATTGCCGGTGTCATATGACATCACATTGCAGCTGTCTTCCTGGCTCATCCGACCACAAAATTCCTATTGCCTCTTTTAACATGGAATGCAACCGCTGCATCATCCAACTGACTATACACTCGAAAATTTCCCCTTCATCGAGTTGACCGTTCTTTTATACTTTCCGCCGGTTTATAGGAACCGGCATCTGGACCGCAAGTCCCAAACGGTTGGTGACAGTTAAGGTGATAATGTCATCAAATGTTAATAACCTACGAAATGTTAGGCGTCCTTATTGAATATAAAGCATCATGCAATGAGGCGGCTTATGTTCGAATATGTGACCTACCACAGCCTTCAACCCATGGTATGACTAGAAGACGTACCAACAAAAGTCCTGAGTTTCACTTCATGGGAAAGAATGGCTTAGAAGTACTTGAAAACGATCATTGGAAATGCCGCATTGTGACCCCACCGGCGTGTAAAAATGCCCTGGGGCACCCTCGTCGTGACGTCGCCGTGGAATTGCCGGAACTAGTCCCGACTAGGCCGGAACTAGTCCCGACTAGGCTTCAACCACCCTGACTAAGGCCGTCTACGATGCCGTTGCCCGTGGTCCCCAGCCAGTGATCTCGTGCTGAGCTTGGCGTGGTGGCCAGGGAGGGGCGGCGCCTTGGAGGAGCTGGTCGGTCACTACGACCCCTGTGAAACAAGTAAAAAGATGCTGAGCAGCCGTGCCCACCCTGCACGCTTGCATCGCCCTGCACTCCTGCAGCCTGGGCCGCTTTCAAAGAGGCCATGTTCGAAACTCGGGACCGACGTGGTCGGCCTCATCAGGGCCGCTCATCCAGCCGCTCGATTGGCGATCTGCATGGTGGACTCGCGGTGACGACTTCTGGGGCATCCCAGCAGGCGTGGCCGCGCACTCAGGCCAGCTGCAGCTTCAGGTCAGCGATCAATTTCAGTTCGAGATGTCGCGCAGTGGGCCATTATTCAGCTCGGCCATGGTACGTGTCCCATCATCCCATTCCGCAACACCACGGACACTGACCAGAGACCCGTCACGGTAATTGAACGGCTCTCGGACGATACCAAATGAGCCCGATCCCAGCCTGCGCCAGGAGTGGCACCGGCCAGCGTCGGCATGCCTGGGCGCTGTTTTTAGGTCGGACCAGCTGCCACCATTTTTATGACGGGCTGTTTACGCCTCGCGCACAGGAATAGACGGCTTTTGGACGTGCCCATTAAATAAAGGCAAATGATGGGCCTTCAGCAAAAGCGAAATGGCATGTACGACCAGCACATGTTCCCTTTCTATCTTACTTCCCATTTACTTATGACTAAATGAAGCAATGTAGTATTGAAATATAATTGGTCTTTATACGCAACATTGTCGATGGTTAAGTTTGGTGGTGAATCATCGTATTCATTTTCATTTTAGAACTCCATTTTTTCCTTTGAAATTCCGTTTACATTTAACATTTAAGGTCCTTCGATTTTTGCACTGCGCTTAACAATAATAGCAACGATGTAAACACAGGTACCCAAGCTGTTAGCACCGTACCCAAAACCGCTCGGAAGGTATTTAAAAAAAAAGCATTGGGAGGGGTGGGGACTCTGAAACCTAGCGGGTTGGACGATGAAAAAAGGATATCTTTTTAAAAATCTGATGCAAGCGTGATTGCCGACTATTAGTGCAAATCAGGCTACAATTTTGTCCTCATAGCAATTCTAGACCCCGGTGCAGGGGCGCAGCCAGAGCCTTGGCAAGGGGGAGGGGAGCACAGGTTTGACCAAGAGCCCCCTGATAGAAAAGGGCCCCCAAACATCGCCGGATACGGCCCATTTGTTATGGAAGACATGTTTTTCTTTAGTAATATATATATATATATATCACGTTTTTAGCTTCCATAACTGGAATTATGCCAGACAGACGCCTACCGCGAGGGCAATTCTGCCTTAAGTTTATAGTAAGTAAACTGACAAAATCATGCAATAAATGAGCGCATAACATTAATCGCCAGGGCTCTTTGTTTTGCAACGGTCCAGTGGACCCTTTTTAATCCGATAGAACTCAGAAACTTTGTCATTTTTTATCTGGGTTTTACAAAGAAAGGAAGACATCCGCGGATGTACATTGCAGATCAAAACGGGTCAACAATTTGCCATTAACATGTCCAAGCCATATTTGTCTGAATATGTTCAACATTCAGTCAGAATCAATTAGTAGTACAAATTATGCAGCGTAGTTTTGAGCATGCGCGCTCGCATATCTTGGTAAGAACAAACTCGACGTCAGGCGTTGCGGTCTCCTTCCGCCGTGTGGCGTCGGCCCCGTGCATAACACTAGGTTGTGGCCAACAGGTGGATCAAAATGGTGACGCATCTCAAAGAAGTATATCTGAACGCTTTTGGACACCACATCGTAGATTCAGATATATCCCTGGCGCCTTTTTCACCTGCGTGGTTTCTAGGCTGATGACAATAACGTATCGGTCTTCACAGCACCGCGAAGTGGTGCTGGAATCTGGTGGTGTAACTGGAAAAGGTAAAATAGGCAAAAAAGATACAATCTCCATTTGCCGTGTTGCTGCAAGTGTTAATCTGCATAGAGGACAACATAAAGGTCATAAAAAGTGATCCGCCGAGTATAATCTTTGAACTATACGAATTCCTTTTAAAAGATATTCAGAAACATTCTTTTACGACGGTCATTGTTGCACGCTCGGCTCCCGCCCCCTGGCGCTACTCACAGTGGCCAACGCCGTTCGATTTTACGAAAACTGCGACCCAAACCATCGCTATGCTTGCTCCCCGAGGTTACGCGTGTGTCCTTAGGGCTTTATGATACAGTCAGCTGCTGAGGATATATGGCGCCGCCAGCCTCTCACTCCGGCGGGAAGAGCAGGCACCGCCAGAAATCGAACCCCGTGTCTGTGGTTTCCCAGACGCGCAGTGGGTAACGCAGGCGCGTGAGCCATTACACTAGTGGCACCCGTTGCGTAGGCTCAAATCTTTTGATAGTATGTGTTTTACTAGCCGATTCTGAAAAATGAGCGTTCCCAGGGAAACATGGGATGGCTTTGTGCGGTTTGAGCCCATTTCGACCCACGTCATTCAACATTTATGATACCTCTTATTTCTTTCCGTTAAAGGGGCCCTCTTGAGTACATCACTGCGGAGCACATTGTTGTTTCCGGTCAAGGGCTGAAGGGTTACTCGGTTCCACCGCGTTGTGTTTTCCGGCCGTCATTATGGTGGCGCGGGGCGGCATCCCCTGACCGATCCGGAGGCCCATAGAGGGGTACATCACATCACATAGGCCTGCTCCGTGACTCGGGAGGCCTCCTGACCCGTGCAGTTGACCCCGGAAGTACTTACTACGGACTGCACGCTGGTTGTCACAAGCCCTATGATGCGCACGCACTAATATCATTCGCAAATGGCACAGTACATTCATTGCCTTGGGCTTTCAGCAATTACTTATCAGCAGCAGCTTTCCAGTTACCCCAGCCCTGACTAAGTTGGTCTGGGTATCAAGGTTGGGATAACATGCATGCACCAGTCTTGGCAGTTGGTCTACGCATGCTTGTAACCCATGGCTGTATCTTCTTGATTATTGACGTAATATCTTACTGTAAACTGCGATCATGTGCACTTCGTGCGGTGTTGCGCCTGCCCCACCCACGTGCGTCGCTGACCGCTGTTCGTTCGTACGATCTCCCGACCCATCTACTTTCGAGAGACTCCCGACAACGATCCGCTCCTGTTCCAGTGGATGTCGATAGCGGTGTCCGTGCTGACGATGGTCCGTCTATGTTCCAGCGGATTCCAATAGCACTGTCCGTGCTGACGCTGGTCGGTCCTTGTTCCAGTGAATTTCGGTGGCGTTGTTCGCGCTGACGCTGGTCCGCCTCCGTTCCAGTGGATGTCGGTAGCGGTGTCCATGCTGACACTGGTTCGTCTCCGTTCCAGTGGATGTCGGTAGCGGTGTCCATGCTGACACTGGTTCGTTTCCGTTCCAGTGGATGTCGGTAGCGGTGTCCGTGCTGACACTGGTTCGCCTCCGTTCCAGTGGATGTCGGTAGCGGTGTCCGTGCTGACGCTCACCTTCATCTCGCTGGACCGGTGGTACGCCCTGTGCCACCCGCTGCGGTTCCTGGCCACGGCCAGATGGGCCAAGAAGGCAATCGTCATGATCTGGATCGTCTCCATTGCGATCAGTAAGCACATGGAATGTAGGTTGGTACGCGGTTATGCTGCTGGTTAATGCTGCCGGACGGCGTGCCTGACGTCTGATGTCGTGATGGGCTCTCTCGGGTAACCGGCGAAGCATGCCGCTTGTTCTGGCCCGTGTCCGACATCAGACCGCTGTCTGCGGACCACTGCATGCGGCTCGTAGACATCTAACCGAAGGCATGGCAACCGGCTATCAGATTCTCGGCTCATTGGTACAACGTTTTCATACGCTACACATTATGCAAGGGAGGCCATAATTGAGCGTTGTTCAGCAGAACAGCCAGAGCGCTAGACCACAAATAGGCGTTCCATGACAGGGGCCTTTGACATGATAAGCCTGAAAAGGCAACGGGCTTTACCTTTGAATCCAACGCAGTCTGACACGCATTTTCGTAATGGCGTTGAGTACATCTGGAGATCTCGAGGGATTTGCTCGCCTCGACGCAACGCAGATTGTTAATTGCATTGATGTAAGCCATCCATTATCACCGTTAGATCTCGCATTAATGCACCTAGCGCCTTGGCCTGCCTGCTCCGTGATGTCTCATTGACAGCACTCACAGCTTACGAGACATATGATAATATGAAATAGCATTGTCACTCGCACTGACGGGCCTCCACACCGACCTACAACTGCCGGGGTGCAAGTACCTGTCCACCCGCTACCTAGGGACAGGGTAGAGATGAACGGGCCGATGTAACGTCGCTAGATATCCCATGCTATCTCGAAGAACCTTCATGCGTGCGACCTTTTGAATTGGCTTCAAGGTCAAGGTCATATCAGCACACATGCATTTTTCCTTCAATTTGTTTATGGTCAACTAACAAATGTCTCTGTCGTTTCCACCGGTTAGCAGCTGAACGCTCTATTGAGGCGGCGAAGCTACCATTGGGGACTAACGCCGCTGAATCACGAGCCTCCACTATCACTATACGCAAGCCCACATCCTGTAATGGAGCGCACTCAGCTCCATTGACCTTTCAATATGCGTCTCGCTTACCCTCGGTGTTTCGTGACCGGAGCTGCGTACACGGTGCCTCGCGACTCTGCGCTTCCGTCTGTGACCCCCTGCGACCGCAGGTGTTCAGCGCGCGCTGTGCCCTCAGGCGTGCCGTACATGGTGTGGACGGAGGTGCACCCGTTCCCGTGGAGTCCGGAGGGCACCATCTACTTCTCGTACTGCGCGCCCACCTTCGGACGCTGGGAGCTGTTCTCCTCGGTCGCCTCGTTCGTCGGCCTGTACCTGCTGCCGCTCTGCTTCATGGTCTTCACCTACAGCCAGATCGTGCGCGTGCTGTGGTGCCAGGCCATCCCGGGCCACGTCCAGTTCAGTGACGGCTCCGTGGCCGGTAAGTACGGACGGATCCAACGTTTCGCCAGTGCATTTCTGTCTAAGTTCATGACCGAATTGCGTTCTGCTCTTACTGGTGGCTTGTCACACTGCGTAATGGGTCAATGGTCGTAGTATGCCTGAGCATGCCGCTCAATGGGTTCATGTAAGAGCGCTTCACGAATGGTATCCACTCGTGGATGACGGGTGGATCCGGCCCATTCACTCGCGGATGGCGGGTGGATCCAGCCTATCCACTTGTGGATGACAGGTGGATCCGGCCGGACCAGGACGCGTGTGCACCGTACGGATCAAGACTGGACCGGATTTTAGGATTTACCGGGTCACAGTGGATTGAACGGAATGAAAGCTAATTAAATTTCAGACGTTAGTTTCAATTATTGGTAATGAGAAACTTCCTAGATTATTGATGTAAGCAAGTCACTGATTGGAGTACTTTACAAAAATGGCCACTAAGTAGCAAAATCATCAACATTATAGATGGTAATTGAGCCATTACCTACCAATCATACAGGTGCCAGGGAAAACCATGGCTGATTGCTTATGATGCACCTAAAACACATAGTGACATTATCAAATATGGCTACACCATTAACAATCTGATCAATGGCATATAGCATCGTATGGTCACCCTCCTGATGAATATTCACCTAGTGTTTAAGAGGTGTAGGCATCTACACATTTCAGTATCTCGTTTTTGGTGGCCGGCGATAAATGCCTATGAACTCTGCACAATGTTCTAAGGCCACAAGTGAAATCAATGACATCTTTTCATATTACTGATAATCCTCCATTAGGTACTACAAAACATATGAAGGAAAGGTGAAGCACAAGGTCATCACCACCTCAGAGCTGAACGTAACTCGAGCCTTCCAGCAACTCGCGATTGCCAAAGCCCTTGTCGAATACATACGCTATACCACCTAGCATTTTACCTACCTACCTACCCATTACCTACAATGACACGGATAATTACACATGTAAATGCTTTTAAGTGACAATTTGACATGTGTCTTATCCACAAGTGTGTTGCCGGGGAATCAAAAGCAGTATCGAAGCAATATATAACGACATGAATGGGAAGTGCCGTCGGAAAATACGGCGGCATATTACCGGCCTAGGCCTGTCGCATCTTCTGAAGGCGCGTCCCACTTATCTGGAGGCACGTCCCACTTATCCGAAGGCCCGTCCCACTCTTCTACAGACACGTCCCACTCATCTGAGGGCACGTCCCACTCATCCGAAGGCCCGTCCCACTCATCCGAAGGCCCATCCCAATCTTCTGCAGACACGTCCTACTCACCTGAAGGCCCGTCCCACTCATCCGAAGGCCCGTCCCACTCATCCGCAGACACGTCCCACCCACCCGGAGGCACGTCCCACTCATCCGAAGGCACTCACTCAGCCTGCTGACACGGTATACACACCGTTATGAAGTCTTTATGAAGTATTTTAACGGTACCCATCGTTATGAAGACCTTCCCAACCTGTTCAGCTGTCTCCCCTAGCTACGGGAGACATAAAGCTAAGATTGTAAGACATTTTTGACTGGACAGTCCAGAATTTTATCAGTCGGTTTCGGCCAAACCACGGGGAAATTGTCCACCTGACCTGACCGATATATTTCACGAAGGGTCTCTACTCATATTTGGCCTCAAAACCACCTTTGCATTTGCCAGGTACCTCAAGTCTTAAGACCAAATGCAACAATATTTTAAGAAAAGCGGGACGCTATCAATGTTCTGTTCCGAGCCGGTTTAGAGATGCAAGCAAAGAACGCGATAATATAAAATCTGCCCATTCTATCCTGGAAATTAGCTAAGTGGCATACCAGATCAAGCATGAGGAATTTCCCCAAAAGTGTGCGAACAAAATGCGCTCTTCCTCCTTCAAAGATGCTTACAAGCACCTCATGGATGCGCTTTGGGTTTTTACAGGGGCAGACAAATACTTTGTCCTTCCTTGACTTCCGGTGTGACCCATCCCTCGCTCTACCGTGTACTCTCCGTCCTGCCCTGCCCTTCATCATGCCCTGTCCCTTGACCTTCCAAACAGCGGTGTAGCAATGCCCTCTGTGCTGACCAACTCTGTCCTGTGACAACGTATGCAAGTACATTGTCTTGTGCCACTACATAACAGAACGCTCGCACTCATCCCCCAGTGTTTCCTCACGGTTATGAATAATGCTGCCCCGTTTCTTAAATTAGTGGGAGATGCCAAAACGATTCCCTTAATCTATGTTTCCTAGAAGGAGCATGAAATTTACGCCGAAAGCGACTTTTTGACAGAGGTATAACACACAGACGGCACTGTTAGCCTTATTCCTGGTCGAATAACCAGGAAAAGAGAGATAGAGGAATCCGCGGCAATTTCAAATTTATTGCGCGTGACCTTTTTGACAAAAATATGCAGGAGACACATTATTGCATCTATCTCTCACTTCTCCTGATTATTCGAGGAATGAGGCTAACTGTGCTGATACATGTATATGTAATATTCCTTGCAAATGCACATAACAACTTATGAAGTAAATCCCGGGCAAACGGAAGCTTACCACTTCCGCGGTTTTTACCCACAACGCTGTGGATTAGAACTCTACCTAGCATAAGGATCACCTCCCACCCTCTTAGTTCGGCAAGTGACAGTGAGGCTGAAAGTGCGTTGCTTTATCCAACATGAAGAGGAAACCCTTGACAAAAAAGGGCCTGGCCAGGAAATAAGGTGACAACTTTTAACGTATCGAACTAAAAACTGTTTTTGGGTGGGCGCAGCACTTTCGAGCCCGCGGCTTCAACCACCTGAACGTGAACTTACGTGCAGCTTCCATGATCTCACCGAACTAAGCTTGGAGAGTGGGCGAGGGACTGGTCTCACTCAAGCCGGCCTCTCGCGTAACTAATGAGGAACATTGGTCAACGTAAATCATCCGGTGAAGCATATTTGACACGTAGTTGCCATAAAGTCACGGGTCTCATTTGATCATCCGGCCAAATCAATGGAATGGAATACATGCGGCTCACGTAACAAGATGCCTTGAACGGGACAAAGTTATTTGGTGTGAAGTGGCGGGCAGAGCATGTTATATTGCCCGTGACTTACAGCGTTAAACTGCATAACTTTTACGACACCAAGCACTCGGACGCTCCGCCTGAAGCCTCTCAGTTCGTAAACAGGACGTACATCATGAGTTACGACTATATGCTGTACTCTACATCACCTATTTGAGTGCTCGGCCCTGGTTGCTACCGCGCTTTTCTGTACCTCATATTCAGGATCAAGCGACCTGCATTGGTATGAAGCCGGCCCACAGCGACATTGAACGCGTCTGAATGTAGCCAAATGAGCCAAAATCCCGCCACAACGCGGTCTGGCTGCGGCCTATTGGTCGGCATGAAACCACCGAATCACTGAGGACGCACGGCTGACCAAGTTCTTGTGACAGCTTCCAGAGAAATGCTCGGAGTTAGACTTGTGACCACGATGCGATGATCAATTTAATTGCAGCCCGGTGAAACCGCACAACGCGTTGCGGATGTGGTGGAATGCTGCAAGAGCTTGGCCTCTTTATAAGTGCCGGATTTTCGATGGTCGGCCCGTTCATCCTAGTATGTGACAGCATCGATCGGCCCGTCGGCTATTAATCTCGGCCAAACAACGGACCTGCTAAAATAGCTAGTCTGCATTGCTGATGCCCGCACTGGGCGGTCGCAGTCAAAGGCAGCCAGACCATCGCAAACCTCTGAAAGCCGGCCATCGTGATTGTACTGCGTTCCTCTCGTGCGAGCCGGGGCGAGCGCCGCATCATCCATTGTCCGTTATATACCCATCATTCAGCCACCGCGGGTCGCTTTTACTGTTTTGGCTTTGAGGCAGACCCCAGATAAATGGGTGATATTAATAGCAAATCGATATTTCTTTCTATGCTTCTTCGTTTTCCAATGAATGCTATCTGAAAGAAATGAGCTTGAATGAAATATAACAAAACATGTAGCACGCCGATAACTTTTTCCCTTACGAAAGCCCGTTAAGCTTTTGCCTTGGATCCATGAAGATGTTGACGGTAAGACGGTTCCATATGCCCAGCGACAATCCGTCCGGACTCTCGAGATTGTTTGTCCCCGTGAAATTGGTAGGGAATGCTATTTGCCCACGGCTCGCATCCACTGCCGGTCGTATTGACAGATAAGTCTATTTTTCGCATGCGCTGTACTTGCCTGATAATACAGCCGATCGCACGTGCGTTGCGATCCAAATAACAAACGCCATTACCCGTGGAGTGTCGGTAGGCGACTTTTTCCAGATCGAGAGGAACACTATGTTGAACTGGTTTAGCAGATTTCGTGGATCCCTCCCAGCCATCGTCGTAAAGCAAATGTATAGGAATACCATAGGTTTATGTTTGCTGGTTATCAACACAAGGACTCCGGCTGGTCCGTAGCAGATATCAAACTGATGAAACTTCCGCCAGAAACGGACGAACAATAACGGCTGATAGCACAAAAAGCAGCATGCACTGAAAAACACAGGCGTCACTGGCGCTTCTGGGGCTTTCGCAACACCAGGGATAGCTAGCTATCGCTGTTGCCCCTAGACAAAGTCGTTCGACTCCAAAATCCGCGCTGGGCGCCTACAGTTGGCGGACCGGGGACATGTGGTCCAACGCGCCGGCCGGATCAGGCCAGGGACTAAACAATGCGCCGGCCGGATCAGGCCAGGGACTAAACATGTGGTCCGATACGCCGGCCGGATCAGGCCAGGGACTAAACAACGGCTGTGATACCTGGAGTCGTTGATGAGACAGCATATTACTCCAAGCAGTGTGACAGGTGGTGAGCAAAGAAACTTCGGCAGGCTCACATGCGACGCTGGTCAAAATTTTAATTTGTTTTGCAATGTTTGACATGAAGCTCCCTATTCATGACGATTTACTCTCCCATGAGCCCAATACAATATGTTTTAGTTTCAGCTCTCTCCCCCCCCCCCCCCACCCCCGTACCTCGAATGAAACATCGGGGCGCGTTTAGGCACCGACTTAAAACGATGTAGTGAGTGGTAGCCGTACAGTGGATCTAAGAACATGACGTGCCCATCGTCTTTCTAAACCTGCTACGTTCGGCGTTCAATAAAAAGACACGTCACTTGTCATTTCTGGTCACGCGCCTAACGTCCCTGACAGGAGGCGTAGCATATTCATTGTAAATGGCGAAATCAGTGGGTCTCACTGCTAACGTAATGCCTTACCCAGCTCGATACAAATGCTTCCAGGCTCACAGATCTCCTTCGTAATCCCTGAATCTTGCATCTGCTCGCCTGGATGGCAATTTGGCAGCCTGCGGAGGGCTGACCATTGTCTGGCGGGTGCTGGGATCGACAGCTCATGCGACAACTCGAACTACAGCTAACCGCTCGGTTTGACTTGCGTTTCAGACGGCAGGCACAACGGGCAAGGCGGCCCCATGCCGCAGTCTTCTGACCCCATCTCTGCCCGCATCCAGTCCAGGCGCAAGGCCGCCAAAATGATGGTCATCGTCGTCATAATCTTTGCCATCTGCTTGCTCTTCGTGCATGCCCTCATCGTCATCAGGTGAGCCGACTAGGCCTTATTCTGTCACGTGGGGAAAGGGCTCGCCCCCGGACTGGAGACGTTAGGTGGGACAGGGGTCCGTCCCCGGACAGGAGACGTTAGGTGGGGAGGGGGTCCGCCCCTGAACTGAAGACGTTAGGTGGGGACAGGAGTCCGTCCCTGGACAGGAGACGTTAGGCGGGACGGGGGTCCGCCCCTGAACTGAAGACGTTAGGTGGGACGGGGGTCCACCTCTGGACAGGAGACGTTAGGTGTGACGGGGGTCCGCCCCTGAACTGAAGACGTCAGGCGAGACAGGGGTCCGCCCCTGGACTGGAGGCGTCAGGTGGGACAGGGGTCCGACGGTGCCTCAGCGTTCGTCGGGTCAAACTTGCTGGAGTGACTTTGAAACAGCACCACGACTGTGGTGAAAGTGGCTCTGAGTGTAGCGAGCCCGGCGGCGAGTGTGCCAGTCTCAGGTCTTTGAGGTCTGTGATTGAGGAAGTCCGGCGTCGCCCGAGCGCCGCAGACGTTGTAACGATCGCTGATCAAGACAAATAGCTGCCATCGCTGCGACCTGCTGGCCCCCAGCCTCTCTACTTCCCCGTCTGCTCCAATCAGACTATGCCCGGACCCGAGCCAACGCCAGGGCGCTGAAGCAGCAGGCCCCCGGGCCCTCAGCGCCAGGACGGGCGTCCGTCCTGTCGCCAATCCGATCAGCATACCCGTCCTGAGGCCGTGGTCGTCCGTCGAGCGGGCACCAGAAATGGAACCAGATTGTGGCCGGCTGGCTGGCCGTACTGAAGGCCGAGGGCCGATGGCGGGCTGCAGCCCACGCGCGCTCCGAGTCCGGGATACGGCTGGAGGACCGAGTTCGGAGGACTGCGACTCCCTTTGTCGCCGATGGCAACATCTGGCACAGCAGCCGGCCAGTGGACCAAGGGGACCTCATCTGTGACTGTACTTTTGGATCCGTCGATCGCTTGACCATGAAACGTTCGATTGTGTGTGTTCTCATCGCTCAGTCGGTTGTTAAAATGCCTTTCTTCAGATGCACATACTCGTGACGAGGTGGGTTCGAATCGCTTCAGGCGCTTGCTGTTTGTCTTTAACAAGAATAGCCCACGGCCCGAGGTAGCGGCCGCGCTAAAGGTCAGATGACGTCAAATGACGGGGTAGGACCGTGCCGACAATTGCGCTACAAATCATCGCTATAGCAATGAGCACTAAGGACGGCTTTTGCTGGAGAGTTATGCTGTTGACGTTTGAGTTCCCCATCGGATGGTAGGGTAGAGCTGGCACGACATGAACTGTACTGGCTAGCGGGGGCGGTGATCCCGGACATCCATCCAATGGACTAATGGTGGGGTAGAGCTTGCGAGACAAGCACCGCTCAGCAGGGGTGGCGATCCCAGAAAAGCGCCCCCCAGCGGGGGCGGTGATCCCGGACAAGCACTGTTCAGCTGGGGCATTACGGTGCACTCAGTTGCTGAGGCTATAATGGCGTCGCCTGCCTCTCACCCTAGCAGAAAGGGTAGGGACTGCGAGGAATCGAACCTCAAATCTCCGGTTTTCCAGATGCGCAGCATCATAATTACCTATCGGTACCCATTTCGCCAAACAGCTGGCTGTAAATTGAGTCACAGTATCAATCATTGACGTGTGGCCCGGCCCCTTCCCTTCGTTTCTCGAGTTCGTGGGTTCAATCCCGAAGAGCGTCAAACAGATCAAATATATATTGAATTTCCTTGCGTTTCAGAAAATGTAGGATATGATCACACATATGACTGTTATGGAGCGATTTTTCGGTGCGCCTTATCCTTTTAAAGGGATTCATAGCCCAACCGAAGCTTCTAACGTCAGAGACATTATGCTGAGAGCTATCGACATTTGGCATACCAGGATGTACTGGCGGGGGTGGGGCAATCGTGGAGCATCGGGTGGGGTGGGGCAATCGTGGGGCATCGGGTGGGGTGGGGCAATCGTGGGGCATCGGGTGGGGTGGGGCAATCGTGGGGCATCGGGTGGGGTGGGGCATCGCAACAATTCTGTGTCACATAGTGTCATGAAGTCCTTTGCGTACTACCGTAATAAGACTGGGGTGTAATTTGGTACCAAACCGGAAATGAAGGAAAACTAGGATAAACGGAAGGTGAAACGTATCGTGCGTAGTCGGTTTTTTCATAATAACGGGAGAATTTCTACGTGTAATTTTGCTTTGATATTATGTACTTGTTTGTTGTTGTCTGTTTGCGAACCTTGCCACATGTACAAAACCAAAGGGCATGGAAAGCGTTAAATGACGAAAAAATGCATAGCAACCAAGCAAAACGTCCCGGAGTAAAATTAATCGATTATTTCGCTATACTAGTCACGATTCCATGGTTTTCTCTCCTGCGTACGTGGTTTTTTATGAATTTCATTTCTTTTCAACAATGCCGACATGAAAAGGACTAAAACGTTTACAGGCACGGACTAAAACACTGCCATAATATGGGCACTGTCGGAAAGTACTCTGTTCCCGATGGGCCATGGATTAGGCAAGACTTTACTCAATTTTCATAGCATAAGGAGAAACATGCTAGCGGAACTGAAAGAATGACAACGTATGACATGATCAAGAGAACTGAGCAATTGTTTGCAGGTTGGACCCATTTTAAGATCATTTCAGGCTGATCCCTTTCGCACTAAAGAAGTCAAGCGCCATCTCTGTCTTATTGAAGTTTCCCTCTACCACCGTAGTGGTCATGGATTGCACTGATATTGCCATCTAAAATCCTGGACAAAGCCATTTTGCGGGCAGTTCAGAACCATTGGTGTCGATGTCATTTTATAGTTCGGAGATATTGACTGCTGGCCCTGGTGACTGTCTCGTTAACGATGTACAACTGAAAATTGCGACATATAAATTTATTGCATTCCGCATTCTCCAAAAGTCAGTACTGGAGCCAAACGGATGCTTTCGAAATTAAATAAAACGTCACACCGCATGAAATATACCATCGCACGCACAACCACGCTCGCTGTTGCTCGACTTCTGCCGTCTCTGCAAAGCACCGACCTTCCACCGGACGTAACTGCCACCACAGAAACAGCCCCAGACCGGCGACACATGGCTTCGCCAGCGCCTGGTCATTAAACACCGTCGCCCAGGGACAGTCTCGAGCGAATGAAGGGAGCGGGCACGTGACCTGTTCCGGCCCACTGACCGTTAATGGATAAGTATCTAGTGATGTGGCGCTGCAACGGTCCGCTTAATGTGTGTCGCATTGCGTGCAACCATTGTATCGCTTCCAGCGCAGCATTAACAGGCTATTTTGATAAACCTGACGACACACGGTGGGTTTTGCTCTTGTTTATTCCGGTTTTCGTATGCTTCAGATTGGAACCGAATAAGGTATCTGCCTAATAATGCGTGTGAAAAAGGCTTACTTTTTGCCATGGTAACTCCGCTGTATGCTATGACAGTCTGTTAATGCTGGTAATCCGTTAGGCTTTCTAACATATGTTGTCGTGTTTTCGTTATTCCAAGTTTGAAAGAAGCTCTCAAGTTGTGCTCAGGTTTCCGTCATTATACAGCTTCTGACCAGACTGGTGAAATAGCCTTAAAAACGTGATTTGAGTAGTTAAGACGCCCCGCGTAGGCATATTTACTGAGAACACATTTTTAAAGTGATGGAGCTTAACATGAACATGCCCTAGGGCCTTCGAAATGTACGCACTAATTAAGTTTGCTCACAACGATTACTACACCTAACTGGCAATCATGAATGGCAGTGGCAGTGGACTGAAGAGGTTTCGAAAGCCCAAATTAAATGAACCAGAAGTATAGACAGAACGATTTCTCATTCTCAGCTACGTTGAAATATTTGGTTTACATATGTCTATCAGGGATTAAGGTATTGTGTAATTCGCACGAAAGATAATCCCAATCAACTCTAAAAACGATTATATTTGCAGTCAGGCCACAAAAAATCTCAAGCAGGGTTGGTTTGGTTTTTCTTATTTGTAGGTTTGGTTTTTTGCGCAGGTTTAGATTTTCTTGATATGCAGGTTTGGTTTTCTAGGCCTGGACTATCCAATTCTCACAGGAATACTATTAGCCGTGCTGATAAGCCGAGGGTCTCTGCTTGCGATGAAAGGGCGTCGACTGTCAGAGTTGCGTGCAATGCGTGCAATGTCTTCCGCCAGCTGGCTCTTTATGACCGAGACGGAGCGGGTGCGTACGTGCGCGTACCAAGGCAAGGTGTGAAACTATGGAATCGTTTGTTTTCAATTTGGAACACCTTGCAAGGATTATGTTATTCGTGGCATTTCCAGTGAACAATTTAAAGGAATGCCGGGGTTCTAATCTCCAAACTACGCCTCCGATATCACAAATTTGCGTGGTCTGTGCAGTGTTAAAGTTCAGCGTCGACCTAGCGTCGCCGGCAGGCACCTGCCACGGGCTGTCTTAATCCGCTCTGCCGCAGACGCGTTGGGCTTTCCAGGTTTTATCCGAACGCACAACTGCCCGGATTTTATCATCACACGGTTCTCTAGCGTCCTGGAACGTCTCTGGAACCTGCAGCAGGTCCGACGCGCATACTTCCACCCGCGTCAACGCGCACCACCCGTCGACACCCGCCACGATGCTCTCCCCGGTCCCCGAGCTTCTGGAACAAATAAGCAAACCGTGGTTTGCCGCCCCGCACCATGTAAGACAACTCAACTGACGCGTGCAAAACTCGCCACGTGACGTCACTTGGGCAACATGCTGCGCTGACACTCGCTGGCCATTTATGATTCACTCCACCACAGTCTGTGAGACGCATCGTGCGTTTGTGTTGTTATCGTTGGCAGTCCAATGCAGCTTGTTTTTTATGACGACATTGGTAGGTCAGTGGTCACAGACGAAAAATGGATTCCCAAAGGCCTTTTGTGCGCGGGGTACGTGCGCGGCGTTTGTGATGGGATGGCCCAGGCGTAGTCAGCACACATTCGCACGGTTTGTGATATGTTCTGTGCGTAATTGCTGGTTTGAAAAAAATAAAAGGCCATTCAAATGCTCTACTTTGTGCGCTTCCCGCTGTTCCCCCGCCAATTATCCAGCTCATTCTATTGCGACCCGTTTCCGTTGATTTATCATGACCTGCCTCTGTTGTGGTCTCATGGACCACTGTGATCGTTTTCTCAGGGGCTATCTCCGTAGCACCTCCGGTCCAATTTCCACAGCTCGCCACGGCGTGCCTCCGTTGCAGAACTGCCATGGGCGACGGCTGGAGAGAAATCCCCGGCGAGGTGGCGCAGGCGTCCGTGTTCATCTCCCACTGGCTGTTCTACTTCAACAGCGCCATCAACCCCGTTATCTACAACTTCATGAGCA